GATTCCTCGGGCCCCCCCCCCCCCAGATGGTATGGTCCCAGAGACGACGACGACGCCGACGCCGACGACGACGACGACGACGACGACGACGACGACCACGACGATGACGACGACGACGACGACGACGACGGCGACGACGACGACGACGGCGACGACGACGGCGACGACTACGATGACGACGATGGCGGCGACGACGCCGGCGGCGGTGGCGACGACGACAACGACGACGATGACGACGGCAACGACGACGACGACGACGACGAAGACGACGAGGACGACGACGACGACGACGAGGACGACGAGGACGACGAGGACGACGAGGACGACGAGGACGACGACGACGACGACGACCTCTGAACCACCACAGCACCACACCACATCCACAGGGGGGGGAGGGGGGCACCGCAGCGCAGCACCACGCCACGCCCACAGGGGGGGGGCGGGGGGGGGGCCATCGCGCGCGGGGGGGGGGGCCCAATGGCATCAGCATTGGGGGGGGTGCCCAAGCCCTGGACCATCTATGCTTCCCGCTGCCTCCACGTCGTGGAGCTTTCGCGGACTGCCGCTCCGATCCGATCCGATACGCCTCTCTTGAGCAGGGAGCGACCGCCCAGGCACTCCTTCAGGCCTGCCACGACACGTTCTTAGAAAAAATACCGCTCTTATACCAAAAACAACGTTCCAATAGCATAATGCCAATGGATGAAAACGAGACGGCCTCAGCCAGACATGCTCCAAGAACATGTCGCGCAAAACCACACATGAAAAGCTCCCAGAACACTGTTTGGTGGGCCTGGACACAACCCAACCCCCCGACGTCCTGAATTTGTCGCCACGTCGGCCCCCAGAGGTCTGGACCCCTTCCCCGGGGCCGGTTTCTCGTCCTGTGAGTCGTTTTGTTGACGGCCCCGAGGCCCGATCAAGGGCCCCAGAGGCCGACAGTGGCGAAAAACCTCCCGGCATCCTGCGAGCTGCCTCCAGAGGACTCCCCTCTTAGGGAGCCCACAAAGGACGTACGCGCCCAGCTATGTACATGAACACGGCCCCTTGACCCTCGAGACCTGCCGCGCGATACGAACATTCGCGCAATGCGAACTCTCGAAACCAGCGTGGATTCATGTACATGTACGTCCTTCTTTCGCTCCTGACCTCTCCGGGCCAAGGTGCTGGAGCACATGGTCCACAAGTGCCGCTGACGCCGGACGCGCTCTGCGACGCGCGCGGCTGCCCTCGCTTGCAGCGCCACCCTTGCGGGGGGGCACTGCCCGAACTGCTGCCAGGGCCGCGCCGTTCCCCCCCCCCCTCCCGCGCGCGCAGGAATGGCGCGAGGAGGCGGCCTTCCAGCGCAGCGGAAGCATGACGACGGACGTCTCCCGTGGTGTTCGGCCCTCCCGGGGGGCCCTTCGGCGGGCCCCCCGGGAGGGCCAGGCGCGGGGAGGGGGGAACACCTGCTGGTAGGATCGGGATGGGTACGGCCAGGCCGAGGTATGAGATCGAGGTCGGCTCGGGGAGAGTACCCCAGTGCTGTTCGTGCTGGTTGGACGCTCTTGTGCATCCTGGGGGGAAGGGCGCCCTCGAATGTTCTTCAGTTTGGCCTGCGGTTGGGCCGCGGTATAGCATCGAGGTCGGCTAGGGGAGGGTACCCTAATGTTCTTGGTGTTTGTTGGATGTGCTTGTGCATCCTGGGGGGGGTACCCTTAGACGTTCTGTGTTTTGGCCGGGAGAAGGTCTCGTGTTCTTGGAGAATGCTCCTCTGTCCTAGGTCCAGCCGAAAGGAAAGAATGGGGGCCCAGACCGACAGCAGTTCTTGTCCATTCTAAGCAGGGCCCGCGGTCGGCGCCGCCGCGGACGTGGTCAGCGTGATGCAGAAGGGCGCCTGTCCGACAGTGTCCGTGGTCGGTTCGGGACAGCACTTGCTGCCAAACCTGGCCTCGCGCCACACAGGGGTGGCGCACGGCGGACGAGCCTCCAAAACCCAGATCTTCGCCCGCGCTGGTGAAGGGGCCCTGGGACGCACAAATAAATACGCACAAATCCCAGGCTTCCCCATGTGATTCCACATTTTCTGGGCTGTCGTCTTCCCCCCCCACACACTTCCCATATTTTCCCACATTCTCCTGATAATCGACGATTCAGTGTGTCTCTGTGTGTGGTTCCCCTCCTGCAACTCGACGGCTCTTCGGCGTTTTGCTGGCCTCTCCTTGGGCCCTCGCTGGGCCCCCGCGGACCATCAAGAAGCGCGAACTGGGGCGAGAAGCCAGCCTTGGGGAAAGGGCCCGGGCTTCCGGAGACCCCACGTGGCCTTTGCATTGGCGCTGCGCATCGATGCGGAGCCCGAGTTCTCCACGCGGGCGGCGCCGATGCATCGCAGACGCTTCGTTGACGCGTCGGCGATGCCTCGGTGATGTATCGGCGATGCAGCGCGATCATCCGACACCATCTACGCCGACCCCAACTGGAAGGCCTCTCAATGGCCGATTTCGGAAACCCTGAACCCAAGAGCGTTTTCATCTCTTGGGGGCACGTCGTTTACTTCCGCCGCCTTCCGCCGAGCTTCCGCTGGCTTCCGCCGGCGGAGGCGGCCTCGTTCTAGTTCCGCCGACCTTCCGCCGACCTTCCGTCGCCTTCCGCCGCGGAAGAGATGACAACTTCTTCGATGCTCGAAGGCAAGGCCTTTCTGGCACACCCCACATGGAGAAAACCAAGACACAGGATGCTTAGGCAAGGCGGGGGGATTCCAAGAGGGCCAGGGTCTCTTCAGGAGCACCCCCAGCTTCTAAGACGCCTTCTAACAAAACCCCTGTCTCCTTCCTTCAAAGGCCCCCCTCTCGCGCCACCTCCTTGCCCGCGCCGCCAAAACAAGAGAGGGTGCGGGATGGGTGACCCAACTCTCCAGCGGACTTATACTCCCCCCCACCCCACCCCACCGCATGTTTCCTCAATCTGTGACTTCTGGGTCCACTTTGTGGCCCCTAGGGCCGTCAAAACAGATCCGGGTCGCAAATTGCCCCCGGAGAAGAGGCCGGGACCTCCCGGGCCTCGCGGGATGGGTGATCTCGCGCGGGGGGCTACAGGGCAGTGGTAAATCATTCTGGAAGGTTCCAGAACGCGCCCGTCGCGATCCGGAACGCTCTGAGAAGGCCGCGGTCTCAGAGATCCGCGATTTATCTTAGGTTGGGCATGTCCCCCTACAGGCAGATTTGGAACGAGAAATAAAACATGCCCCTAAAGATGCCGCCAAACGCTCAAACCTGGTCCCAAGAATCGTCCCCCCACGAATCTCTGGCTAATTCTGAACACTCCCCCCGTAGAGGGACAGGCCCGACTTGAAATCCATCCCTGCCCGATGCTGCCCCTGCCCTGGCCTCTTCCCACGAGAGAGCCAACAAAGACCCAGGCCTCGTCGCCACGAGCGCGCGGCGGGGAGGCCCTGGGCGGTATATGTGAAGGGGAACTGGGACACGCAAACAAATACACACAGGCAGCCGGACTCCCCCATAGTCTGCTATATATTTTTTTCTGGGTTTTTTTTTTGTCCTCCCCCCCCACTTCCCACACATTTGCCCAGATCTTCCTGGGCATCGACGATGCACTGTGTCTGTGTGCGTTTTCTCCCCTCCTGAATCTACGCTCGGCCTGCGGGCGCCCTCCCCGGGCACGCCGCAGGCCGCGGGCGGCATCGCCCGAGACCCAACGCGCGCTATAGCGGCGAGGCGCGCCGCGCACGCGCCCCTTCTGGGAGGCGGTCGAGCGACGGGGCCCGCGGGTGGCGAAGGGGGCTCCTCCTGGGCCTGCACGGCCTCCCCCAGGGCCGTCATTGGGCGACCCGAGGCTGGAGGAGGGGGAGGAGGAGGAGGAGGAGGAGGAGGAGGAGGAGGGGGAGGAGGAGGAGGAGGAGGGGGAGGAGGAGGAGGAGGAGGGGGGAGGAGGAGGAGGAGGAGGAGGAGGAGGAGGAGGAGGTGGAGGAGGGGGAGGAGGAGAGAGCGAGAGTGGTGGTGGCGTCAGAGAGCAGAGCGAGACGTGGGGGCCCCGGCGTGCCCGTGCCGAGGTGGCCGCTCCGGCGAGGGGTCGCGCCGACGGGTCCCCGAGGGTGTTCTTGAAGGGGCCCCAGGACACACAAATAAATACACACAAATAGCAGGATTCCCCTTATTTCCCCATATTTTCTGGGTTTTTGTCTTCCCCCCCACTTCCCATGTTTTCCCATATTTTCCTGGGAATCGACGATTAATTGTGTCTGTGTGTTCTCTCCCCTCCTGAGTTCTCTCCCCGCCCCGCGCCCGGCCATCCCGGGCCCCCCCCCACACCCAAGGCCGCCCTCCTCGCGCCGCACCCCGCGCGCGCGAGAGGCCCACGGGGGGGCCCCCCCGGCCCACCCAAGAGCAAGGTGCAGCGGCACTGCCAGCACCACCAGCGCGAGGAGCAAGAGTAGGGCCCTCCTGGACTGGGCCCGAGTCGATGGGGTCGGATGCATCGCCGAATCGCCAATGCATCGCCGATGCATCGGCGACGTCGGCGGTGCATCGGCGCCATCGGCGTGGAGAGACTCCTCGCCCCGCACAGCGCCGCATCGTCGATGCATCGGCGAGGCGGCGGGATCCTCCGACCTCCGCCCCCAGCTGCTCCGACCTCACCGGGGAGGCCTAAAAAGAGAGGGTCCTCCAGATGGCGCGGCCCCCTCCCCTCCCCGCTCGAGGCACCCCCCTTGTCCCCAGCTCGGCGAGGCGTCGTGGGGCTCCTCGCTGGAAATTGGCACCCCTGGTGGTGGTGCCGCTTCCAACTGCACGCAAGAGGGACCCTGGGTAAGAGTGACCTTTGGCGCGCGGCTTCTGGTGGGCCGCGGGGGGACCAGACACAAGCGCGCAAGACGCTACTCCCGCACCGCGTCTGGCGGTCGGGGGACCCCAGAGGGCGCGCACCACAAGGTCACTCCAGCGAAGGGTCACTCTCACGTGCAATCGACGCTTGTCTTGCCTCCGTCCGTCCCGCGCCCGGCCCTCCTGGGGCTCCGTCCGCGCCCGCCGCAGCTGCGGCTTCCGGGCGGGCGCCTCCGCCGACACGCGGGGGGCGCCGCACGAGGGGGGAGGCCGCGGGGCAGAGGGCAGAACAGCCATGTCGTCCCTGTCCCAAGCCCCCTCAAAGACCCTCTCCTCGTCGTCGGTGTCGTCGTCGTCCTCCTCCTCCTCCTCCTCCTCCTCCTCCTCCCCCTCCTGCGCCTCCTCCTCCTCCTCCTCCTCCTCCTCCTCCTCCTCCTCCTCTTCCTCCTCCTCCTCCTCCTCCTCCTCCTCCTCCTCCTCCTCCTCCTCCTCCTCCTCCTCCTCCAGCCTCGGCTCGAGGGCCCCCGACCCGGAGCGCAGCTATAACACGAAGCCTTCCGCACCCTCCGGCCCGGTGAATGGCACGGGGCCGCTTCGTGCCACTCTCACGCTCAGCCGCGCTTCCTCGGCGCCATGCGTGCGCCGCCGCCCCGGCTGCGACCCGAGCGTTGGCCACCGCGTGGGCGACCCTCTCGGCGCCCCGACGCGCCCAGCCCCAGAGAGCGGCTGCGCTGCTGCCTCCGCGCCGTGCTTCGCGCACTCTGCCTCGGCTGCCACGTCCAGCGCCTCGCCCTCGGCCAGTCCGCCGCCGGAACTGCGCTCTTCGCGTTCCCGCTCTAAGACGGCCAGGTCCTTCCCGATCCACCCGCGCACGATCCACCCGATCGTCCGGCCGATGTGCACGAGGCACCCCGAGTCGGTCTTCACGAGGCTCGCAATGCTCTTTGCGCTCCTCGGGCCGCACTCCGACGCCTCGCCCCGCCGGCCAAGGTGATACCCTCTTCCTCCTCCTCCTCCTCCTCCTCCTCCTCCTCCTCCTCCTCCTCCTCCTCCTCCTCCTCCTCCTCCTCCTTCTCTTGCTCCCCCTCCTCATCCTCTCCCTCCTCCTCCTCCTCCTCCCCCTCCTCCTCCTCTTCCTCCTCCTCCGCCTCCTCCTCCTCTACCTCGTGGCGTTCTCCGGCGAGGCCTTCAGGATCGGTGGAGTGGCCTTCGTGGCGCCCTGCGCGCCGTCCGCGATGCTCTTCATGCTGACCAATACGGCGGAGGCCAGTCCACAAGAGACCTTTCACAGGAAACCCAACCCTGAGACCCAAGGATGTCCATTGATTTTGGACGTGGGGACGTCACGCTTTCCGTGGCAAAACCTTCGAAACCCAAGAAACCCAGGGCATCCTGGAGGCAAGCAGGGTGTTTCTTGGCATGGGCCTCCACTACAAGACTCCCCCACCCGCCGCCCACGGAGGCCACCAGGCCAAGACTGCAGCCATTTCCCATGTGCCAGATCATCGCCGCTTTCTCGACGAGCGTTCGCCGACTGCCACTGAGACTGCCCACGGCCACCAGGCCACAGCTGCATTCAGCCCCCACGTCGTAGTTCAAGGTGGCCCTCCCACTGAGAGCCCGCCGACTGCCACTGGCGCCAGCCGATGGGGGCCAACAGGCCCGCGCTGCAGCCAGCCCTCCCACCGTGGTTCATCGTGGCCCTCCCGCCCAGTCCGCCGAGAGCTGCTCAGTGGCCACCAGGCCACTCTAGCCAGTCCCCGTGTCGTCGCCCATGTCGTAAATCAACGTGACATAGCCGACACCGAAGACACGGCCCAATTCCTTAGAACAGAAATGAAGACCCCCTAAGTGCAAGCAGAGTCTCAGGAATTCCAGAATACCAGGACCACCCCCCCCTGGACCCCCCACTGGGGTACATAATTTCCCCCCTCGGCGCTTGGAGCGGCTCAGGAGGGCCCAAGACGCCCCCAAGACGGAACGAGAAAGCCCGAGGAGGCCTCACGGGGCCCGAAGAAGCTCCCCCAGGACGCCAAAGATGGGCCCGAGGTGACGAGAAGACGACCTAACGGCCTCCCCAGACGGCACGAGAAGGCTCCCACAAAGGTCCCACAAGGCCACTGGAAAGCGAAACTTGTACACTGTCTTCGCATGCCTAGAGGTTGACACCAACACCAGTATCGGCGGTGTGCCTCCACAGAGGGAAGAAGATCCCGATCTCGGTGATTGTGGTAACAATTCTGGCTTCCAGGGTGGCCGAAATATTACCACCAACACCGAAATCTAGGATCATCTCCCCCCTGTGGAGGCAACCCCCTGTGTTGGTGTTGGTGCTCATTTCCAGGAGTCTCTCGGTTCCGGTGGCATTGCATCAGGCGCCGCTCCTCGGCCTCCCGAGCGCCCGCGACGTCCGAAAACACCCGTCAGACCGCTCCGACAGGGCCCCCGGCGGGGCTCCAGACGGCCCAAAGAAGGCCTTGAGACAGCCCAGCGAGGCCCTCAAACCGCCCCCGGAGGGGCCCCAAAACGGACCAAGAGGCCACCAAGATTGCCCGTGAGGGGTCAGACGGGCCCCAGGGGGCCCCGAGGCGGCCCAAGATGCCCCCACGACGGCTTCACAGCGGCCCCAAGAAGCCACAAAGAGAGGCCAATCCGCGAACCTGCATTAGTACGACTCCACGGACACACACACACACACACACACACATTCAGCTTCGAACATGCTCTTCTCGGCAACCCCCCCTAGACCCCCACCTACTTGAATTTCCTCCCCCCATGCGCTCCCATCGCCAGAGACTTGAATTTCGAGTTCAGGGTGCCCATCGCAGCCTTCTTCGGCCTGGGCGGGGCCCAGATCGTTTCCCAAGCGGGCCGCTTCAAGACGTCTTTCTTCAGGACGGCCCCAAAGGCCCTAAAGAGACCGCACGACAGACCCAAAACATCCCCACGAGAGCCCCAAGCGTTTCAATACTCAATCCTTGCGACGTCTGCCTTACATCTCAACGTTCCCGCTCCTTGGAGCTTCTGGCCGCCCATCAGCCAAGAGCCTTCCGAACCTGCGACTCCCCTGAGCCCCATCAGCCCCACACCCTTACGAGCCCTATGTGCCTCACGGTCCACCACTGCCCCGTGCACACCAGCGAACCCCAGGAACCCCTCGCTGAGCCCCACGACCTCCACGATCCCGATGAGCCACATGAGCCCCACCCCGAGAGCCTTCCAACCCCCGCTGCCCTCATGAAAATGCCTCCCCAGGCACCCCGCAAACCCCTACGAGCCCACGATCCCCGTGAGCCTTACAAGCCCTACGATCCCTGCGAGCTCCACTAACCCTACGAGCCATACGAGCCGCGTTAGGCCTACGAGCCGCATGAGCCCCATGAGCGCTACGAGCCCTACGACCCCTGAGAGCCCCACGAACCCCCACGACCCCTACGGGCCCAACGGCCCCCAGGAGTCCTAAGAACCTTATGAGCCCCATGAGCCCCGCCAACCCCATGAGGCCCATGAGCCCTACGCGCTCTATGAGCCTTACAAGCCATACGGGCCCTACGACCGCAATTAGCCATGCGAGCCCTACGACACCCGCGAGCCGCATGAGTCCGACGGCCCGCGCTAGGAGCATCTGGCAAATGAAAACTTCCCGTTTGCTGCAAGGCCTTAGCGAGAACCTGCACGCGCAGAGACTCCAATCCATGCGCAACAGTGGGTCTCACACGCCCAGCGAAACCCATGCGCCAGAAGTCCACTGCACAGAGGGCACTGGTGGTCGCGGCGAGCCTCTCTGGCGCCATGCGACACAGATTTTCTGTGGCTAGTTACTACAAGTGTAGGCCTTGATTGGGACTGATGGTGAGCGTAATATGGCGAAACATTTGAAGTGTAGCTAGCTCGGACTGGTTATTGGAAACGCGATTGATCCTTGGGTCTGCGGATAATTGTCAAAACTACGGGCGTGTACCCTATTAGTCGAGCTGTATTTAAGCATTTGAATTCGGACGGGCTCTAGCTAATTACAGGGACGGTGAGTGCGCATTCGAATTGTGGCGGATGGCGGCTACTTTTTTGAACTTGTACATCGTTGTTGGAAGCATGAGACTGGTGGCTACTCCCCCGCGAATAATCGAAACTGAAACAGACTACTGACAGTGCGGCTACATGTAACTACCGATTGACATTGCACGTGGCGGGAACATATGGACATAAGTAGTAATGATCGCTGATTCTGAATAAATGACCCTTTGCCGATGATAATCACACCATGGGGGGAGATAACAGCTGTTCCTGGAGATATCGATGTTGAGATGTGTGGATGGGTCTTGCATGGCCTCCAAGCTGATCTGGAGAAGCCTTCCCCTGGAGCTTGTTTGAAGGAGTTGGGTGAGCACGAATCCTGAAAAACACGATGGTGGAAACATACACTGGTCACTCTTGGGGGGCCTGCCTGCCGGAGGAGGAGGATGCGGAGGAGATTCCAAAATGTATCAAAGTTTCGGGCAGATCGAACTCTCTCTCTCGCTCTCTCTCTATATATATAGACGTACATATATATATATATACACACACGTATGTATGTATACATACACATACATATCTATATATATATATATACCTCAGAAAAGTTGCTTGGTGGTTTCTACTCGTCGTGTAGGGGTACTCATGGCTGCTCTTTATGGGGTGATAAGCAATGACGGCGATAAACCAGTTCAGCTGGGGCGCGTTCGGCGATAACGGCGATAAGCGACGGTTTGGCTGCTTCGGCCCCATCCACCTTCCTTCGTTTACGGAGTCCGTTGTTCACCGCGACATAGTCACTAGGGCACCACATGGGGCCACGAACCGTGTGAGGAGTGTGGCAGAATGAGGGTCTACGGTAGGGTGATGATGAGAACAAAGACAGCCGATGAACATAACAAAGAATAGTCGTGGTCATAAGATTCCATGTGCGATTCGCACTCTCCCTGGTGGAAATAATGTTCGGCCTCGCAGCTCCGCCCGCCTATCAAATATAAGTCCCCCATGGATAATCATGACACAGGGGTTAAGGGGATGCTATATGATCGCGGGCATGCGTATACTGCACCGGTTGTTAATTATGCATGGTTTTTAGACTCGCACATGCATTTACCAATGGTGACCCATATAATGCGCGTCGCCATCAATATCTACTAATGCAAACTTCAATGTGACATTGAACATGTGGCTAATTCTAACTAGCTATCAGAATCTTAGCTACCGGCCGAGATTTCAGGCAAGCGCATTGTTAGTGGAACTGGGACTGTTGATTCCAATTATGCCTATGGGTTAGCACTTGTTGCGCAGGTACCGTAGCTAATCCCACTAGCCCTCTGGGCGTCGGTGGTCTAGAGAGTTTCCTCTTCCACCCCCCTTCTTCCCCTTCGGGGAGGGGTCTATCACTGTTCCCTATGAATCAACACCCCCTCCCCCAGGCGACTGGGGGCCAACCAGGGTCCATGACAACACCCCCCCACCATTCTTTGCAAAAAAAGCATGCAAACCACACTTTGCCTCCAAATTCGGAACATGCGCAGACAACCCAATGCGGCCCCCCCACCATCCCTGTCAAAAAACAATACATAGTACACTTGGCGGCGGCGGCGGCTGCGGCGGCTGCGGCGGCGGCGGCGGCTGCGGCGGCTGCGGCGGCGGCGGCGGCGGTGGCGGTGGCGGCAGCGGCTGCGGCGGCGGCGGCGGTTTGGCAGCGGGGGGCGGCGGCGGCGGCGGCGGCGGTGGCGCGCTGCGGCGGCGGGCGGCGGCGGCGGCAGGCGGCGGCGGCGGCGGCGGCGGCGGCGGCAGGCGGCGGCGGCGGGCAGCGGCGGCGGCGGCGGCGGCGGCGGCGGCTGCGGATTGGCCCCCAGTAGCTGCCCATCCAAAGACGACTGCTGAATATGCTCAGGCTCGGGCCAGACTCGGGTGCTACGTATGTGTTGGGAGGGCGGGTGGGAGTGAGCGAGACGGCTTGCGGGCGGGGAGGGGGTCTTGACCCCTCCCCCATACCCCCTTCCCCTGGACCTGGACGGAATGTTCCGCGGGTCGGTGGGGCGTCCAAGATGGGCCAAGACGGCTCCAAGAGGGCCTCAGAGAGCCCAAGATAGCCTCGAAGGTGGCTCAAGATAGCGCAAGATGCCTCAAGATGGATCCCAAGATGCTCCAAGAGGCCTAAAGACCGCACCAAGACGGCCCCAAGTTGCCAAAGAGCTCCCCACGGAGCTCCCCGACAGGCCAAAACCATGCCAAAACCTAAGAACAATCAATATGTTTGGCGTTATCGCTTTTTCGCTTCCGATGGCCTTCACAGGCCTCAAGATGGCTCCAAGATTGCCCAAGAGGGCCACAAGAGAGGCCCAAGAGAGCCCCACGACGGCCCCCAGAGCGCCCAAGAGCGCTCCAAGATCGCCTCACGAGGGGCCCAAGAAGCGATTCTAGGCACTCTAGAGGGGCAGGGCTAATATACGACCCCCCCTTCTTTGATAGATCTCCTCCAACATGGCCCCAAGAGCGCCCCGAAGGCTCCCCAAGAGGGCCCCAAGAGCGCCCCAAGAGGGCCCCAAGAGGCCCCAAGAGGCGCCCAAGAGGCCTCCAAGAGGCTCCCCGAGATACGCAAGAGGCCCCCAGGACCGCCAAGAGGCCCCAAAGACGGCCCAAGAGGCCCCCAAGCTCGCCGTTGTCCTCCTCCTCCTCCTCCTCCTCCTCCTCCTCCTCCTCCTCCTCCTCATCTTCCTCCTCCTCCTCCTCCTCCTCCTCCTCCTCCTCCTCTCCTCCTCCTCCTCCCCCTATGTTTCTTCCTCCTCCCTCCTCCCCCTCCCTCTCCTCCTCCTCCTCCTCCTCCTTCTCCTCCTTCTCGTCCTCCACGTCCTCGCACTCCTCCATCTCCTCCTCCTCCTCATCTTCCTCCTCCTCCTCCTCCCCCTCCACCTCCTGCTCCTCCTCCTGCTCCTCCTCTTCCTCCTCCTACTCCGACGACGACGACGACGACTCCTCATACATCCGCCCCCTCTTAGGGTATATGGCGGCGTACCCCGCCCTTTGTTCTTCTGCATGTTCCCCCGCTTCCCTCATCACCTCCATTGCCCTGGGACTCATTTCTGGACGGGCTGGTGGGGATACGCGAAGCGTCTAGAATTTAGTAACCATCGGAAGCCTTTTAAGAAACCAATAGAAAACCTCCTCAGAAACCTCCAAGAAGCCTTTCAGAAGCCTCTCAGAACCCTCTCCGAAGCCTTTAAATCAGACCCTTGAAACCCTTTCAGGAGACCTCTGGGAAAGCATGTTTGAGTTGAGCACGGCCCTAGAAGCTCTTAAGAGGCCGCGCAATGTCTCACAAATTGTCGTCCGAAGAGCAGCCCTCCACTGCAAGAAGATCACTCGACTGTATGTTCTAATCAAGTTGTAACCCGACTCAGTGGGATGGTTGCAATCGGCGCCAGTCAGCTCCTGAAAAAACCGAACAGGTTTTTTGGAGCTTATTCCCAGTGCATCTGGCTACTTGCGACAATTTTGTGGAACCAGCACCCCCTTCGGCTACACGAGTGACCCTAGGCATGTGACCTTTGGTGCGCGGCGTAACCGGGGGCGCGGGGGTACCAAACCCGAGCGCGCAAGACGCTGCTATCGCACTGCACGCGACGAACGGGGGGCCCCAGTGAGCGCGCACCAAAGGTCACTCCGGCGAAGGGCGCCCCCGCGACGTCGTCGTCGTCGTCGTCGTCGTCGTCGTCGTCGTCGTCGTCGTCGTCGTCGTCGTCGTCGTCGTCGTCGTCGTCATCGTCGTCATCGCCGCCGTCGCCGTCGCCGTTGTCGCCGCCGTCGTCGTCGCCGTCGTCGTCGTCGTCGTCGTCGCCGCCGTCGTCGTCGCCGTCGTCGTCGTCGGACCTTTTACATGTAGCCGACCCCGTGCCGACGGCCCCCCCCCCCCAGCCGGGCACCACGGCACTCCCCGCGGCGCACAGAGAGGCGCGGAGCGCACAGACAAGGATGTGCAGGAAGCGCGCAGACCGAGCTCGGCCGGGCCGGAGGGCCATACTAGACCATGCCGCCCTCGGGCCGATGAGAAGAGAGATCAGATGCTCGTTCTGGGGGCCTTCCTGGGGCCGCCCGCTCCACTCATGCGTCCATGCCGCGTGAAACACGTCCGTGGGCCTGGAGCAAGCCTGGGTCGACGCTGAGGTCGAACTACGAGTCGCACTGGAGCCAAACCAGAGTCGAGCAGGTCCGTTAGGTGGGCCCCAAGAGGGCCCCCGAACCGGGGGGCCCCAGTGGGCGCGCACCAAAGGCCACTCCGGCGAAGGCCGCCCCGGCGCCGTCGTCGCCGCCGCCGCCGCCGTCGTCGTCGTCGTCGTCGTCGTCGTCGTTGCTGTCGTCGTCGTCCCCGAACCAGCGTCGAAGACAGCGACTCCGCGGGCTGTTTCTCTCTCGCAGGCTCGCTGCGCCAGGTTCTCGCCGGTGCGCCGCCTCAGCGCAGCTGCTCGCTGTGGGGGCCGCAGGCGCGGGCCCTCTTCTGCGCGCGCCGGGTGCGCTCGGGCCGCGTGGGGCCGGCGCCGCGTCAGCAATGGCATTCCCACGCTGAGGCAGAGCACCAGGGCGGATGGAGGGCTGGAGGCGAGAAGGGAGACGGGGGTCAAAGAGATGCGGACCTTTGAATCGAACCAACATGATTGGGCTGCCAGGGCGGATGGGGAGCGGCAGTCGAGAAGGAGATGAAGGCCAAAGAGATGTGGACCTTTGAGTCTAACTAATATGCTTGGGCTGCCAGGGCGGATGCGGAGCTGGAGTCGAGAACGAGATGAAGGCCAAAGAGATGCGGACCTTTGAGTCTAACTAACATGCGTGGGGTGCCACGGCGGATGGGGAGCTGGAGGCGAGAAGGAGGTGGGGGTCAAAGAGATGCAGACCTTTGAGACTAACTAATATGCCTGGGCTGCCAGGGCGAATAGGGAGCTGGAGGAGAGAAGGGAGATGAAGGTCAAAGAGATGCAGACCTTTGAGTCTAACCGACATGCCTGGGCTGCCAGGGCGGATGGGGAGCGGCAGTCGAGAAGGAGATGGACGCCGAGGAGATGTGGACCTTTGAGTCTAACTAATATGCCGGGGCTGCCAGGGCGGATGGGGAGCTGGAGGCGAAGAGGAGATCGGGGTCAAAGAGATGCGGACCTTTGAGTCCAACTAATATGCCAGGGCTGCCAGTGCGGACGGGGAGCTGGAGGAGAGAAGGGAGATGAAGGTCAAAGAGATGCGGACCTTTGAGTCTAAACGACATGCCTGGGATGCCAGGGCGGATGGGGAGCTGGAGGCGAGAAGGAGATGGGGGTCAAAGGGATGCGGGCCTTTGAGTCTAACTAACATGCCGGGGCTGCCAGGGCGGATGGGGAGCTGGAGGAGAGAAGGAGATGGACGCCAAGGATATGCGGACCCTTGAGTCTAACCGACATGCCTGGGCTGCCAGGGCGGACGGGGAGCTGGAGGAGAGAAGGGCGATGAAGGTCAAAGAGATGCGGACCTTTGAGTCTAAACGACTTGTCTTGGCTGCCAGGGCGGATGGGGAGCTGGAGGAGAGAAGGAGATGAAGGTCAAAGAGATGCGGACCTTTGCGTCTAACTAATATGCCGGGGCTGCCGGAGTGGATGGGGAGCTGGAGGCGAGAAGGGAGATGGAGGTCAAAGAGATGCGGATGTTGGAGTGTCAGGGTCAAAGAGATGCGGACCGTTGAGTCTAACTAATATGCCGGGGCTGCCAGGGCGGATGGGGAGCTGGAGAAGAGAGGGGAGATGGGGGTCAAAGAAATGCGGACCTTCGAGTTTAACTATGATGCCGGGGCTGCCAGGGCGGATGGGGAGCTGGAGGCAAAAAGGAGATGGAGGCAAAACAGATGCGGACCTTTGAGTCTAACCAACATGCCAGGGCTGCCAGGGCGGATGGGGAGCTGGAGTCGAGAAGGGTGATGGACGCCAGAGAGATGCGGAATCTGAGTCTAACTAACATGCCGGGGCTGCCAGGGCGGACGGGGAGCTGGAGACGAGAAGGGAGATGAAGGCCAAAGAGATGCGGACCCTTGAGTCTAACTAGCATGCGTGGGGTGCCAGGGCGGATGGGAAGCTGGAGGAGAGAAGGGAGATGAAGGCCAAAGAGATGCGGACCCTTGAGTCCAAGACGCCTGGGCTGCGCGGGCGGATGGGGGGCTGGAGGAAACAAGGGAGCGGCGGTGAGAGAAATTGCTAATCTTTTGGTCAAAGAGATCTGGGCTACCAGGGCGGATGAGGAGGAGGCTAGATGAATGAGAAATGGGAATGGGGCTTAAATAAACGTTGGCCTGTGAGTCTCAGGCGCCTGGGCTGCAAGAGCGGACGAGGAGCTGGAGGATAGAGGGGATGGAGGTCAGCGCAATACAACCATTTGAGTCTGAAGCGCCGGGGCTGCAAGAGCGGATGAGGAGTTGGAGGAGAGAAGGGAACGGATGTCAAAAGGATGCGGGCCTTTCAATCTAAGACGCCTGGGCTGCCAAGGCTGATGGAGGACAGAAGGGCATGGAGGTCAACGGAATTCGGACCTTTGAATCGAAGATGCCTGGGCTGCGTGGGGGGACGATGAGCCGGAGGAGACTGGGGAATGGAGGTCAAAGAGATGTGGATCTTTGAATCAAAGTCGCCTGGGCTTCCAGCGCGGATGTGGAGCTGGAGGGGGCAAGTGATGGAGAACAAAGAGTTGCCGACCTTTGGATCTAAGACGGCTGGGCTGCCAGAGCGGACGAAGAGCTGGTGGAGAGAGGGAAGGGAGGTCAAAAGCATGAAGACCTTTGAGTCTAAAACGCCTGGGCTGCCAGGGCGAATGGGGGGCTGGAGGAGGGAAGGGAATTGAGGTAAAAAATGCGTGCCCTTTGAATCTAAGACACCTGGGCTGCAAGAGCGGACGAGGAGCTGGGGAAGACCGGGGGATGGAGGTGAGAGAAATGCTGATCCTTTGGTCCCAAAGACCTATGCTGTCAGGACGGATGAGGAGCTGAAGAGAAACGGACTGGGGGCTACAGTGACGTGGAACTTTGAGTCTACGGCGCCTGGGCTGCCAGGGCGGAAGCGGAGCTGGAGGAGAAAAGGGATGGAAGTCAAAGAAGTGCTGTCCTTTGTATCTGAAAAGCCTGGGCTGGCAGTGCGGATGAGAAGTTTGAGCGGAAAACGGATTGGGGTCAGACAAATGCGGATCTTTGGATATGCGACGCCTGGGCTGCGTGAGCTACAAGCTGACTCAGCCTTGCGCGTACCACCCCGAGCATGTGCTGGGAGGGGTGGTAGAAACTGCTTGCGAATTCCGCCGACCCTCATCTACTAAGTACCGAACGGTGAGACGGCGCGTAAGAGGTTTGGTCGTTCCCCTCCCCCTGCTTCCCCTCCCTGGAAACCAACATCATGTTGGAAGGTTGTTTGGGGGAGCGGGTGAGGAGACGAGCTCCTCAACCCTTGGCGCCCAGATCCTCCAAATCAGCCCTCGGATACTTCCAAGATGCTCATGATGCCCTTGAGGACGGCCCATGCAGGGCTCCGACATGCCCAAGAGGCCCCAACAATAGCTCAACAGGCCTCAGATACCCAGGAAAGCCGAACGAGGTCCCAAGAGGGAACCCAGACACCTAGATCAGTGCTATCTCGCCAAAGTCCCCCAATTGACTCAGATGCTCCCAGGAGCAGAGGCTGCCCCAGAGTGCCCCAGCCCAGCCCTTTCCGGCAGGCTTCCAGGACGGCCTCACAGCTGCTCGAGCAGCCATGGCCCAATACCGCCTCGAGACAGACCCAGCCCCCCCCCCCGCCCGCCCGAGCGGCCCGACGACCATCTGAAACGAACTAGAACCTACGAAGGGACGCCAAGATGGCCCTAAGAAGCCCCAAGAAAGCCCCATGCGATCTGGACCAGACCGCCAATGACAACACGACGACAATGAGACAGGCCCTAAATCATCGGCCCAACACGTGTCCAATCCATCCCCCCCATACTCACCGATTGAGATACTTACGTGCTGGTTCCCCCTCAGGGGCCCGCTGTGACTCCGCTTTGCGGGCTCACGAATTGATGCATTTTGTCGTGCGCAGCGCCAAATTGGAATGACAAAATTCATTATTCGAGGCTCATGCTACCACCGCGTTTCACCTACATTGTCCATCATGTTATCCTACCTCGGCGGCCATCCCTCTACTCCGCATCCCCTAACCGTCTCTTCGCGCCCGCATTCCCTAGCTGTTTTTGGTGTTGGGCCTGCAAGGAGGACCAAGATACAGTAGACGCATACGGCCGTAAAAACTGCTATGGGGAATCGGTGTCGTTTCGTGTTTGCCCCCACCCAACCGTTTTCACATGTCCAACAAAGCCGTATGGGGTTCTGCGAGGAGAGGCGTGGGACTTCCGCGCGGAACCATCTCCTCGTCCTCCCCTTCACCCTCGCCGTTTCCCAATGCAGCCAGTAGTACGCCACGGGTTTCTGGGAAATCCTGCACGGGTTTCTGCACGGGCTTCTGGGAAATCCTACAATCGCGGGGAGGCAACACCGAGCCGAAACCGAGAGATCTGGGGGCCCGCCTGCCGCCGATCTTTGGAGGCTTGTGAAGGGAGCCTCTGTGGGTCACCTGGGGTCCGCGGGGGGATGCGAAGTTTCAGCGGGGCGCCTGCAGGTAAGCCCACTTCTGAGTTGCTGTCGGCTCGGTACCACCACATACGCCCCCCAAAAAGATAGCTCCCAACGAGTCCGAAGAGAGGAGGCAACACCAGAGAACAAGTCCCTTACACTCTGCCAGTTCCCCCAAGCCCCTTTGCCTCCCCCCCCTCCCGGATGTGGCATCTGCCTTCGGCGTCCTCGTGCGCCTTCCCCTGCTGAGGTTGACTATCCGTGCAGCCTGGACTACATTCGCCGAGTCAACCTTTGGGGGGTCGGCGGAACTGTGTAAACCTTACGAGTATTGGCGGAAGGGGGTTCTTGGCCCTAGGTTGCCAACGTGACCGGTCCACCGTACATACTAAAAAGGAACCTGCATGTGCCACGACGGCTACCACTGCAGGCGAAATACCATCAATTGCACGACGCTCTCGTCCTTCTTCGCTTTCCTCAACGCCGCCATTTGATCTTCGAACGTGAGGAGACCGCCGACGACCATAATGTCACCTTCGTAAATTGTTTGCAACTGATTGTTGCACCTGTCGCACGTCCAATTCCACGCGTTGATTGCTCCACCCAGATGAATGCGCTGTACGATGATGTATTCCTGCGCGCCTATGATCAGGGGACCACAGATATCAAGTCCCAGGCCGTTCGGTTCAAGCAGTCTCATCTTCGACGCGAACACAAAGTGGGCCTCCACAGAGCAGGGCGCCATCAACGGACCTGGGGGAACAAAGCAACGCCGATACCGCCTCTCTTCGGACCTCTCCCAGTGGGCATGCTTACCAGGATTCCGAAACGAATCCAGCCGTGGCAACGAGGGCGGCGCCAGGGAGGTTCCCCAAAGGCACAAGCGAAGGAAGAGCACAGGTAACCGTCATTGGCGAAACCGAGGGCGAAGCGACACCGAGGAAGCGGCACCAGCGTCATGTAGCGAGAACGAGATAAGGGCACCAGCATCGGCAGGGGAAGGGAGGGAGGGAATCATGCTCTCTCTCTCTCTCTCTCTCTCTCCCCCCAGCGGACCGCCGCACGCGCCCGCGTTCAGGGCCATCGCGCCGCCGGCCCCCGCCAGCTCCAGCGCGGGCGCCGGGTCGCTCCACCGCCGCGGGCTCTGATCTGGCGTGATGCACGCCTCCCGGGGGTGGACTCCCCCTCCCCCAAACTCGAGGTCGGTTGGCACGCGCGGGGGAGCCTGCGGTCGAGGTGCAACTCATCATCAGACCCACCGCCAGCTTCGAGCATTGGGGAGGGGCAGGCGTCGACCGATGAATGTGGCAGGAGTGTTCGCTAACAGCGAACATCCCTGCCACGCTCATCGGTTTTGCGAGGGCGAGGAGCCCCTGAACGGCGAGCGAACGACGAACGAAGGCGAAACTGGAGGCGAGGGCGAAAACGATTGCCTGCCACTGACAGCGAACGAGGGCGAAAAACTGAACTTTTGTCCGAGGCCTGGATCCCCCCGTTGTGCACACGACCCCTGGGCGAGAGCAGCCCAGGCGAGACGGGATCCAGGCCAGCGCGGGCCTGCGGGAAGGGGGGGGGCCGCAGCGCCCCCTCGAGAACCAAGCCAGAGGGCAGCGAGCTAGACAGTGAGCGTCTTCTCTCTCGGCCTCTCGACACTGGGCGGGAGGGGGGGGGGAGGGGGGGGGGGGGGGGAGGGGGGGGGAGGGGGGGGGGCGAGGGCCCGCGCCGATCGGCAAAAGACTGGATACAAAAACGGTCACGTGCATCGACTCGGCAGTGCTTGTCTCTCTGCTTCTTTCCGCGATCAGCGAATCTCACGACAGCGTGACTGGTACAGTAACGTGAAGCAGAAGATCGCCAAGCAAACTAGGATCGCTAATTATCTGAGCCGACCTGCCATAGGCAAGCTCATGCGATAAGCTAGAGCCTGGGGGAAAGAATCGACTCGGCAAGAGGGGGCCTCTATCAACCTCCGAGCCTCCTCCCCCAGAAAATTTCGACGCTGCGACTTTTCCACGACGTCGGCACTTCATCCCTCGCCGGGCCGCTTATTGAGGGTCCTGGGGCCCGGTGAGGGCCCCTGGGAGCTAAAATCCTCACCCCGTGACCCTTTCACGGCAGGGAAATCGGCGGCGAGCGAGGGGGGGAAGTGAGAAGGAGAAGGCCTCCTCAGAAAGCTCGGAATTTCCTATCTTTCTGAGAAGCTTCCTGTGCCCTCCCCGAAGACACAGACAACCTCTCCGTAGGCGCGAGTGCTTCTGAGAAGTCCTGCCGCCTTCTGAGAAGGCCCTCTACTTCTCGAGACCTCCTAGATGGGGTCGGAGTAGATGGGGTCGGAGAATCGCGCCTCATCGCCGATGCATCGGCGACATCGGCGATGCATCGGCGACGCCAGCGTGTAGAACATCGGGATCCACATCGATCCGCATCGCCAATGCTTCGACGATACGGCGCGAGCGCCCGACCCCATCTTCTCGGACCCCATCCTGGGGGCCTAGACCTTCTCACTTCCCCCCACCGCTCGCCGCCGAGAAAAGAGGGGGGGCCAGGCGCCGCCGCCTCTGTCGTGGACGTCATCAGCGGGCCGTGGATCGCTCCCGCGCTCGGGGCCGCCGCGCCCACGTGCAGCGCGGCCACGCCACCAGCCACTGGCAGCTCCGGCGTGGACCCCGCGTCGCTCCACTGCTGGCGCGGGCTGTGCTCTGGCGTGGTGTACGCCTCCGCCCAGGGCACCGCCGCCTTCTCGGGAAGACGGGGGGCAACAGACGTCCTAGTGTGTCTCGATTGTTGGCTGCCGTCCAGGCACTGTCCCCCACGATGCTGGACGCTCGACGCAGTCTCTCCTGTCTCCAGGGCCAGCAGGAACGGAGTCGGGGGGAAGCAGACATCGAGGAACTGCGGGCGCGCCTGCATGCTCACCACACCCCGGCAGGGGGGTGGGGCGCTCCGGGGCCGCGGCCTGAGGCAGCCACCTCTTCGGACGTGACGTCTGGGGACGACTCCTGCAGGGAAGCGGGCCTGCGCTCCCCCGGGCCGGACCCTCACCCCGAGCGGCCTTCCCCCCGGCCCCCACCCCCTGGCCCTTGCTGGCCAACTCCTGCAGGGAAGCGGGCCTGCGCTCCTCCGGGCCGGACCCTCACCCCGAGCGGGGCCCTCCCCCGGCTCCCACCCCCTCGCCCTTGCTGGACCCTGTTGGGTGAGGCGCGTGTCGGTCCGCTTCTCCTCTCCTCCCGCCGGCCTCCCCCTCTCGCCCCTCCTCGCGTCTGCCGCCCGCCCGCGCTCTCGTGCCGGGAGCGGGGGGGGCCGACCACCGGCAGCGACCAAACTCAGGACACGGCGGCCACGGAACGCTTCCCCCCCCCGACCTCGCCGGGGGCGGGCCCTGGCCAAGAACTCGAGGAGACCCCAGCCGTGGCGACGAGGACGCTCCAGGAAGCCCCAAAAAATGAATGGGCCCTGGGACACACACAAATAAATACACACAAATAAAAAGATTCCCCATATTTTCCTATATTTTCTGGGTTCTTGTCTTCCCCACCACTCCCCATATTTTCCAATATTTTCTGGGGGATCGACGATTAATTGTGTCTGTGTGTTTTTTCCCTACCTAGGCTCTGCCTAGAAGGGTTCTTACCCTCTTAGCTTAAAGGGGCCGGGCAGTGGTCCCCGCCCCGGGCGGTTGCCCCAGGATGCGCCCCGCGGTTCCCCCAGTTACGTCCCCTTAGTTTAGCGTTGCTTATCTCATCTTACCTTAGCTTATTTCATCTTAGCTTAGCTTTGCTTCATCTTAGCTCAGGTTGATCTTAGCTTAGCTTACCTTTGTCTTAGCTGTGCTGAGCTGTAGCATAGCAGAGCACAGCATAGCATAGCATAGCGTAGCATATCATGGCGCAGCACAGCATATCATAGCATAACCCAACATAGCATAGCATAGCGCAGCATAGCATGTAATAGCATAGCATAGCGCAGCACAGCACAGCACAGCATAGCACAGCGCAGCATAGCATAGCTTCCTAGGTTCTGCCTGGAGGGTTAGCTTAGCTTAGCTTAGCGCAGCGCTGCATTAGCACAACATAGCATAGCACAACATAGCCAATAATAGCATAGCATAGCATAGCATAGCATAGCGCAGCATAGCATAGCATAGCATAGCATAGCATAGCGCAGCTTAGCATGCCATAGCTTAGCATAGCACAGCGCAGCATGACATAGCATAGCTTAGCATAGCATAGCATATCATAGCATATCCCAGCGTAGCATAGCATAGCGCAGCATAGCATAGCATAGCATAGCATAGCATAGCATAGTATAGCATAGCATAGCATAGCATAGCATAGCATAGCATAGCGCAGCATAGCATGGCATAGCATAGCATAGCATAGCAACTGATGCTGCTTTCCTAGGGGCTCCAACTTCTAGGTAGGGTCGCATTGGGGTAAGTTTCCCTCCTGAAAACAATACCGAAACGCGCCCCCAGCCGTCGCTCCCTCTCCGCCGACGCTGCGTCCTGTGAGTGACGTCGGCCCCCAGGGATCTCGACCGCTGCCCTGCAGCCGGCTCTTCGCCCCGCGGTGGCCGGGGTCGGCAAGCGGCCCCCGGGGGCCGAGGAGCCACGGAAGAGCGGACGTCGCGGCGCCTCTGCGTCGCACCGATCTGCGGGTTGCACAGTCTCCGCTTCCGTCCCCATGATTGAGCAGGGACCGACCGTCCCGGCATTCCTATAGTCATACCACGAGATGTTCTTAGAACCAAACACAATGTTCTTAGAGCATAAACCCGATGTGTTAAAACAAGACAGTCCCGGCCAGAAATGTTCTAAGAACATTTCGTGGAGACCACACAAGGTTCTTAGAACATTGCTTGGTGGGGCTATAGGCGGGCCGGGACGCTTCGCCACTGCTTGACATTCGGTGGGGCGTGTTGCTCTTCGAGTCGCCCGGCCGGACTTGCCTACGGCAAGTTCGCGTCGTGTCGACCCCAGCGCCGGTTCCTCACACCGCGGGGATCGTTCAAACTTGAACGATCGGACGTTCCGTGAACGCTGGATCGTTCAACGACCGGCCGATTCTGGGCAACGGGCGGCGTTCAACCTTAAACGCACGCGGCGGGGTCGCCGCCGGTCGGCACGACGCGAACCTGCAGTACCGATCTGCGCGAACCTCGGTCCTCGATCCACGGGTCAGACGAAAAGGAGGGGGTAGCAAAGGGAGGGGATTGAAATCAACTCCCGCGCCTGCTTTCCCCGCCGCCTCCTGGCGCTGGAGTTAGGTCGGGCATTTCCTCCTACGGGGGGATTTTGAGAGAAGGAAAAACCTAAACGTAGTCCACAAATAATCGAAAAATCGTCCCCAGACTATGATTTTTTACTATTTTTGAATATTCCTCCTGTAGAGGGGCACGCCCGACTTGACGCTGGAGGCGCCAGCGTATCGAGGAATGTGCCCGACGGCGGGGCCGAGACCAGCTGCACTGCAGCCAGCCTGGTTTGCCGACCTAGGGGAAATGGGAGCGGACAGTACGATTCCGGCAAAAAGCGGTGCACGTCTTCGTCCACGAGGAGGAGGAGGAGGAGCAGGAGGAGGGCCGCCCCAAGCCCCTGCGAACTTGGGCTACCCCCCTTCTCCTCCTCTCCCTTCCCCTCCTCCTCCTCCTCCTCCTCCTCGTCCTCCTCCTCCTCCTCCTCCTTCTCCTCCCCCTTCCTCCTCCTCCTCGTCCTCGTCCTCCTCCTGGCCCTCCTCCTCCTCCTCCTCGTCCTCCTCCTCCTCCTCCTCCTCCGCCTCCTCCTCCTCCCCCTCCTCCTCCTCCTCCTCCTCCTCCTGCTCCTCCTCCTCCTCCTCCTCTCTCCTCCTCCACCTCCTCCTCCTCCCTCCTCCTCCTCCTCCTCCTCCTCCTCCTCCTCCTCCATGGCGAAATTGCGGGCGTGCCCAAAAGCCCTCTCGAAACGTCACGGAGACTGTGCGGAGGAAGACGTGATTCCAGCAGAAGCGGTGCACAGTTTTGGGGCTCCGAGGTCGGTTCGAACACCAGAACGCGCGCCGCATACATTGGCGCCGCATAGACGCCACTGCGAGAAAGCAAGAACGCACTATTTTGGGCCTGCGCTGGAAGACACAGCGGCCAAGCTTCCTCAGAAATACATGGACGCGCTGTTCAAAATCGAAGCGCTCGATCATACGGACACTTGTCAGAAAACGTGTTCTTCAGCGCTGTGAGGATATTGCTGGATTTGGGGCACACCTGCATCTGGGCCGAATATCTCATGGCAGCATTGAAGTAGCGCCGACCACACAAGCACCGAAACCAATAACGCCAAGCATATGCTTGACGAGTCTTGCAGGGCCCATCTTGGGCCCCCGGGGTCCGACAAGGAACAACAGCTGGTCGCGCCAATTTGTTCGGAGCCTTGGACATCTTGGATATCGCCCGCGATATGGGTCTGACTTGGCGGCGGACAGGGGGCCTGAGCTGGTCGGGCCCGAGAAAGTCGGTCAATCATGGGGGGAGGGAGGAAAGCAAATCCGCTCACAGAGCGGACCCCTCGCGGGATCCTTCTGGTGCAGTTTTTCACCTCGAATATGTTTTGACAATATTGGGGCCCGAACACGACCCCCAGAGGCCGAACAACAAAAAAATCCGGGCGAAGGACCCAACCATATGCGGTTGTGAGTATGTACCGGTGTTGTGAATATCGCCTTCAGTTGATCTCCTTATGGGGCATTGGGTGGAGCTGCCCGTGGGGCCACGAAACGTGCGAAACATGTGAGGCGATGGGCGGTGGGGACGCATGCGAACGGTGGCACTGCGACATTGGCTAGAGCTCCCTGTGGGGCCATGGACCTTTTGAGGGGTGTGTCGCCATGGGTGGGGAACCGCATGCGCACGTCTCCACTAGAGCCTTCGGTGGAGCTCGCGACGGGGGCACCAAACGCGTGAGAAATGTGCCGCAAGAGGCGGCGGGGGCGCATGCGGAGGGTGCCGCTTTAGCCTTCGGTGAAGCTCCTTGTTGGGCCGCGAAACGTGCGAGGGTGTGCCGACATGGGTGGCGGGGACGCACGCGGACGGCACCACGTGGAGCCTTGGGTGGGGCCCCTGTGGGGCCACGAAGCGTGTGAAGGGTGTGCCGACATCGGTGGCGGGATGTGGCGGGGACGCATGCGAATGGAGCCATTGGCCCCTTGGGTGGAGCTCCTTATGGGGAACGAAAAATGCGAGAGGCGTACCGACATGAGTGGCAGGGACGCGTGCGGACGAAACCATTGATGGGGCCAAGATACGTGCTAGGGGTGTGCCGAAATGGGTCGCGGGGACGTGCGCGATCGGCACCACTTGCGCCTTGGATGGAGCCCCATATATGGCCACGAAACGTGTGAGGGGTTTGCCGAGAAGGGTGGCGGGGACGCACGCGGGTGGCACTATGTAGGCCTTGGGTGGAGCTCCCCATGGGCCACGAAGAATTTTAGGGGTGCACCGAAATCGGTGGCAGGAACGCATGCGGGCGGCATCATGTGGGCCTTGGGTGGAGCTCCCTACGGGGCCACGAAACGTGTGAGGGGTGTGCCGACATCGGTGGCGGGGACGCAGCATGCGGGGGCACTATTTGGACCTTGGGTGGAACTCCCTATGGGGCCACGAAGCGTGTGATGGGGTATGCCGAAATGAGCGGCAGGTTTGCATGTGGGCGGCACCATGGAAGCCCTGGGTGGAGCTTCCTATGGGGCCGCGAAACGTGTGACTGGTGTGCCGCAATCGGTGGCAGGGACGCATGCTGGCGGCACCATATGGGCTTTGGGTGGGACTCCCCATGGGGCCACGAAACGCGTGACAGGTGTGCCAGCATCGGTGGCGGGGACGCATGCGGGCGGCACCATTTGGGCCTTGGGTGGGCTCTATATGTGACCACGAAGCGTGTGAGGGGTGTGCCGAAATCGGTGGCGGGGACGCATGCGGACCGCATCATTCGGGCCTTGGGCGGAGCTCCCTACAGGACCGCGAAACGCGTGAGTGGTGTACCGAAATCGGTGACGCGGGCGCATGCGGGCGGCACCATTTGGGCCTTGAATGAAGCTCCCTGTCTGGCCACGAAACGTGTGAGGGGTGTGCCGAAATCGATGGCGGGGACGCACGCGGGCGGCACCATCTGGGCCTTGGGTGGGCCTCCCCGTGGGTCCACGAATCGCGTGAGGGGTGTGCCGAAATCTGCGGCGGGGACGCATGCAAGCGGCACCATTTGGGCCTTGAGTAGAGCTCCCTATCTGGCCACGAAGCGTGTGAGGGGTGTGCCGACGTCGGTGACGCATGCGAGCAGCACTAATCAATCCTTGCGTGGGGCTCCTTATGAGGCCACCAAAACGTGTGAGGGATGTGCCGACATGTGTGGCGGGGAATCATGCGGAGGGGCACCATATGGGGCAGGTTGAAGTCACTGCGGGGCCACGAAACGTGTGAGGGGTGCGCCGCAATGTACGGCGGGGACGCATGCGGGCGACCTGGTTTGGGCCTTGGGAGGAGCTCTTTATGGGGTCACGAAACGCGTGGAGGGTGTGCCAAAATCGGTGGCGGGGACGTATGCGGGCGGCACCATCTGGGCCTTGGGTGGGACTCCTCATGGGGCCACGAAACGCGTAAGGGGTGTGCTGACATGGGTGGCGGGGACGCATACGGGCGGCACCATATGCCTTGAATGGGGTTCCCTATGGGGCCACGAAGCGTGTGATGGGGGATGCCGAAATGAGCGGGAGATTTGCACGCGGGCGACACCATGTAGCCCTTGGATAAAGCTCCCTATGGGGCCACGATGCGAGTGAGGGGTGTGCTGACATGGGCGGCGGGGAAGCATGCGGGCGGCACCATTTCGGCCTTGGGTAGAGCCTCCTTTGGGGCCACGAAACGTTTAAGCGGTGTGCCGAAATCGGTGGCGGGGACGCACGCGAGCGGCACCAGATGGGCTGGGGGTGGGAGTCCCTACGGGTTCACGAAACATGTGAGTAGTGCGCCGCAATGAACGGCGGGGACGCATGCGGGCGGCATGATTTGGGCGTTAGGTGGAGCTCCTCATGGGGCCGCGAAACCTGAAAGGTGTGCCAAAATCGGTGGCGGGGACGCTTGCGGCCAGCAACATCTGGGCCGTGGGTGGAGCTCCCTATGAGGCACGAAACGTGTGAGGGGGGTGCTAACATGGGCGGTGGGGACGCATGCGGGCGGCACAATGTGGGCCTTGGGTGGAACCTCCTATGGGGCCACGAAACGTGTAAGGGGTGTCCCGGAATCGGTGGCGCGGGTGCATGCGGGCGGCACCATTTGGACCTTGGGTGCCACTCTCTATGGGGCCACGAAACGTGTGATGGGGTGTGCCGAAACAGAGACATGCGGATGGCAGTGGCAAGGATGGGAGGAGGAAAGCGGGGGAGGAGGAGGAGGAGAGGAGAGAAGAGGAGAGGAGGAAGGAACGCGGGGCGCTGTCTCTTCAAAACGAGGACCCAACACCACAGGATGGCTGGGAATGAGACACCTTATCGAAACCAGAACTTCGAACCTGACCCTCACCCTGAGCTGGCCCAAGGTCCGACCCGAGATCCTCGAGCCTCCTCCTCGCGAGAACGCCTCCTCCTCGTCCTCCTTCTTATCCTCCTCCTCCTCGAGCCTCCTCGATGGCGGGGGCGCCTCCTCGTCGATCCCCCACGATCCTCCTCGATCTCCCCTGGTCATCCTCGACCCTCCTCGATACTCCTCGCTCCTCCTCGCGCCGCCTCCTCGATGCTCCCCGCTCCTCCCCGCTCCTCCCCGCTCCTCCTCGTTCCCCCCCCCTGTCCTCCCCGATCTCGCCTCGATGCTTCCCGGTATCGCGTCGACCCCCCTCGATCCTCGAGCCTCCTCCTCCTCCTCCTCCTCCTCCTCCTCCTCCTCCTCCTCCTCCTCCTCCTCCTCGATCTCCTCGAGCCTCCCCGCTGGGCGGGGGCGCCTCCTCCTCCTCGACCCGCGCCGCGGCCGGCCGCACGCGCAGCAGGGGCAGCATGTGTCGGCCCCCCTCCGGGTCGGAGGAGTGGCGGCCGAGGCCTCGCCTCGGCCCCCGCCTGGGCCGTCGGATCTCAGAGCCCTCCCCTGGCGAAGAACAAAAAAAAAACGCCGCCTCCTCCTCCTCCTCCTCCTCCTCCTCCGCTCCTCCCTCCTCCTCCTCCTCCTCCTCCTCCCTCCCTCCTCCTCTCCTCCTCCTCCTCCTCCTCTCCTCCTCCACTCCTCCTCCTCCTCCTCCTCCTCCTCCTCCTCCTCCTCTCCTCCTCCTCCTCCTCCTCCTCCTCCGCCTCCGCCTCCGCCTCCGCCTCCGCCGCCGCCTCCTCTCCTCCTCCCCCTCCTCCTTTTCCTCCTCCTTCTCCTCCTGGTCACGACGCGAGGCTTTGACAGTTTGCAGCCCTCGGGGGCCCTTGCTGGGCCCCAGGGACCATTGGAATGCGGCCTGGGACGAAAAACGAACTGCACGCAAAAGGAAGCGGTCGGAGCCTCCGTGGGGCCGCGGATGCACAAACAAATAATTCGGCGACTGTCGGGACCCCACACCCTCTCGTTGCGAAAAAATCGCGAGTGGGTGTGTGTGTGGTTGTGTGTGGTGTGTGTTGTGAGTGTTGTGTGATGTGCGTGTGTTGTGTGTTGTGTGTGTGTTGTGTGTTGTGTGTCGTGTGTTGCGTATTGTGTGGTGTGTGTTGTGAGTTGTGAGTTGTGTGTTGTGTGTTGCGTGTTGCGTGTTGGGCGTTGTGTTGTGTTGTGTTGTGTTGTGTTGTGTTGTGTTGTGTTGTGTTGTGTTGTGTTGTGTTGTGTTGTGTTGTGTTGTGTTGTGTTGTGTTGTGTGCGCGTTGTGTACCGTGTGTTGTGTTGTGTTGCGTTGCGTTGCCTTGTGCTGTGAGGTGTGGTGTGGTGTTGTGCTGTGCTGTGGTGTGGTGTGGTGTGGTGTGTTGTGTTGTGTTGTGTGTGGCGTGTGTGTGTGTGTGTGCGTGTGTCTGCGTGCGTGCGCGTGTACGTCTTCGTGTGTGCGTTGCCATGTTCGACATCTGCGGGCCCTTGCTCGGCCCCTGGGGCGGTCAGGAAACGGCTCCGGGTGAAAAGCAAAACAACAAAAAACGCAGCGACAGGATCTGGAAACAACGGTCCCTGTTTTGGCCAGGCGTGCTCTGGGCACAAGAACGGACTGGCCCAGCAAGGCGCGCGCACCGATCTTTGGTGTGGGATGGGCCTTGCCAAAATACAACACGAAAGAAACGGTTCATGCAGAGTCAGGGTTGTCCGCTTTCAGGCCACGGGGCCCTCCACGGGCCCCAGGACTGTCAAAACATTGCTCCGGATGAAAAACTCGTCCTGTGGGGGAGCCCCGGGGTTTAGGACCCACTTCCTCTGGGACCCGCTTCAGGACGACGCATGTGCCCTCATTATCCGCCACCGTGCCCAGAGGCACGAGCTCAACAGGTAGAGGGTGAAAAAGAGGTGGGCGTGCTGGGTCGTAGCCCGTGGCCTTGCCTCTGTCGGTGTGCCAGTGGCACGTAGCCCATAATTTTATGAATGCGAAGACCAGCGGCGGCTGCCGCCGGCGAAGCGCCAGGCCCGGGGGTCGGGTCAGCCGTGGTGGTGGGGGGGAGCGCGAGTGGGAGGGAAGGGAGTGTCCGCAGGTCCCTTGCACTTGTTCGACCCAAATCCTGAATGAACTAGCATCAAAAGGGCCCGGGCCCCCGAATTCCTGGATTCCTGGGGCGGGCCGCGGCTCGCCAAAGGACTCCCCGTACGATCTCGCTTCCTTTTTCTGGGGCCAAAAGGGCCCCCAAACAGGTCAATGGGCCTTCCAGATTCTAGAGGCCCCCAAGACGATCCAAGAGGGCCCAGAGTCGCCGAAGCATCGCTCCAAGACGCCCAAGATGGCATCCCAACGGCACAGGACGCCTCCAAGGCAACCCGGGAGGCCTCCACGAGCGCCCCGAGCGGCCCAAACCATTCCCCAAACAGCAGCTGCACTTGGGGGGGTTCTTTCTTAGGCTAACGCAAAGAGCTGGATGGGAACGCCATGGTTTTTTTCGGCCGCTGCCGGGCTGGCGGGCGCCTCTTGGGCGCCCCTGGCTGGAGGGGGGGGGCGCCGAAGCTTTGCCGCGTGCCCGCCCGTGGGCGCCCTGTGGACGCCCGCGGGCGCCCCGCGCTGCGGCGGTGCGCCGAAGCCTCGCCGGCTGCCCGCCCGGTGTGCGCCTCGTGCTGCGCCCCGATGCCCGCCCGGCGTGCGCCTCGTGGGCCCTCGCGCGCTTGGGGGGGGGGGCACGCCGAGGCGTCGCCCGGTACGCGCCCGCGGGCGCCGCGCAGCTTGCGCCGCAGGGCTCGCACCACATGCGAGCAGGGGCCGCGCCCGTCGATCCCGCCCTCCCCCCGGGCGGATGGGATCGGCCCCCCTCCCCGCGGGAGGGGTGCGCCCGTGAGCCTCGCGAAGGCCTCGCGAGCGGGATCGCACCCCCAGCCGCTGTGGTCGTGGCCCTGTTAGCGCAGCGCGGTGGTGGGTGCCGGTGCACCCCCCTTTCCCTGTGGGTGTGGGGTGGTTCGTCGTCGTCGTCGTCTTCTTCGTCGTCGTCGGCGTCGGCGTCGCCGTCGTCGTCGTCGTCGTCGTGGTCTTCCATCGGCGTCGGCGACGGCGGCAGCGTCGTTTTCGTCGCCGTCGTCGTCGTCGTCTTTGCCGTCGCCGTCGCCGCCGCCGCCGCCGCCGCCGCCGCCGCCGTCGTCGTCGTCGTCGTCGTCGTCGTCGTCGTCGTCGTCGTCGTCGTCGTCGTCGTCGTCGTCGTCGTCGTCGTCGTCGTCGTCGTCGTCTCCATCCCATCTTGGCGGGGGCGGGGGCGGGGGGGCCTGGGGAACCCTGCGGCCCATCCCATCCAGGGGGGGCCTGTGACCCCTCGACCCGGGATCGTAGTTCTTTCACCGCATCGTTTTCACCGCATAGCACACACACTACATAGCTTACACAACCTAGCTCAGACCACACAGCTCAAACCACATAGCTTGCACAACTTAGCTTAGACCACACAGCTTACACCGCGTAGCTCACACCACACAGCTCTCAACGCAAAGCTGACACAACATTTGCATAGCTTGCACCAGGTAGCTCATATCTCAGGCCACATAACATACACAATATGCAATATATCGCTTAGTTTACGCTGCATAGCTCATACAACATAGCTCACACACCATACGTAGCTTACACAACATAGGCCACATCGCATAGCTAACACTGCATCACGCATTGCATGTGGCACTCGTCACTATATGTATATGTAAAGAAATACCTATACGCACGCGCCAATTCTGCGAGCGATCGCTACATGCAAGGCGCCGTCTCTTATTTCCCAGCCACCGCGGCGGAGACAACGACCAGGCAAGTTGAGGAGGCAAGCCTCCTCCCCGCCCGACGCAACTTGAGCAGACGCACGCTGCACCTCCTCAAGACCGTGCACGCCGTGTGACGTCCCCAGGGGGAGACAGCAAGGAGTGTCGGTGTACAAGCGTTGCTGGTGTACACCCTGACATCTTCCGATCCGATTTTTTTCACGCGCGGCCCCACCGTTCCCGACCCCTTCGATGGGGGTAGTGTTTCGCTCCGGAGCGATTTTGGATGGCCCCGTGCCGACATCGAGGAGAACGATATTGGGATCGGCGGCACCAGCGGACGCGGGCGCAAGGGTCGGGACCGGCGGAGCGCGCCGGGAGCGGGGCGCGCAGAGCGAGTGGAAGAGCAGAGAGCGGCCACGGAGGAGGGAGGAGGAGGCTAAAGGAGGAGGCTAGAGGAGGAGGAGGAGGAGGAGGAGGAGGAGGAGGAGGAGGAGGAGGAGGAGGAGGAGGCGGGGGAGAAGGAGGCCCAACAGCCGAGAATCGACGGGCGAGGGGCGCACCGAGACCAAACGCCGGCATTGCCAAAATCAGATCGTCGGAGGTCTGGGCGGGTGCCGGCGCCCAGCGGCCTGGTCTCGGCGATGTCGAGCTCCACCTCGCCCAGGGCGTCCAGCGCGGCGCCGCGCGGGGCGTGCGCCTCGGCGGCAGCGGCGGCCGAAGCTCCCTGGTGCGCCATGCCGCGCGCTGGAGGCCGAGGGGCGGGCGGCGGCCGGGGAAGACGATGCGAGGCGTGCGAGAGGGGAGCTCGCAGGTCCCGGCCCGAGGCGCGCACGCGGCCCGGGGGAGGCCAGGGGGGCGCGTCGAGGCGAGAGCTTGCGGGGGGACGCCCGATAGGAAGGTGCGCAGGTCATGGCCCCGAGGCGCGCGCGCGACCCCGCGGGGGCCAGGGGACGCATTGAGGTAGGAGCTCATCGGGGGCGTCCGAGAAGGGGGCGTGCAAGAGGGGGGGGGGGGGGGGCGCAACTCACGACCCGAGGCACGTGCGCGGACCAGGGGGGGGGGGCAGGGAATGTCATGGATTCCGCCGACACTGCCGGCGTGTGTGAAAAACTTTTCCGCTTCAGCAGTCGTCGTCGTCGTCGTCGTCGTCGTCGTCGTCGTCGTCGTCGTCGTCGTCGTCGTCGTCGGCCCTCGTTAGTGCCGGCGGCACCGGCCGTAAGGCCTTCGCGGTAGGAAGAGGGAAGGCGAGGCGAGGCAAGGCGAGGCGCGCCGTGTCCAGCCAAGTTGGCCGACCCGCACGGGGCAAGGCGCGTGGGCCGCAGCCCTCACACGTCATCCTTCCTCTGTGCGAAGTCAGATCCAAACGCTCCCCAATCCCCTTCGAAATTGCACCATGCCTCGTGGACTCCTTTCCTTTGGACATCTTACGGAAGCACCATGGCCCCCGCCATGCCATGTCGCCGCGCCGCTTGCTCTCGGCGCGCCCGAGATGGACGACGCCGACGCGCCACGGCAGCGCCAGGGCAGACCCTGCGCCCCACGCCCCACGCAGACGACGCTAGCACCGCGGAGAAAGCCCGCGGCGAGCCCACAGCGTCCGAGGCGGCGGCGTTCGAGGTGTCCGATGCGCTCTCAACTGACTACCTACCAGACCACCCCAACCCAACCCGTACCACCCCAACCCACTCGGGTTGGGGGGGTACGGGTTCATATATGTTTTCTCGATGTTCCCCGAACCCCCCCCCAACTGGAAATGGAGGGCAAGTTGAGGCCTTCGGGTTGGGTTGGGGTGGTTTGGTGGGTGGTGATCAACTGCCCCCGAAAAGCCGAAGGAAAGACTCGTTCCCGCCCCCGGTCGTGCCCACAACCGCATCGGGCCTCCATGGTCAGCGGCCTCTGGTCGACCGAAGAGGAGCAGGCGTGAGGGTTGAAGCCGGCGGAACAGAGCCGCAGCTTCGGGAAGAGGCTTGGCGCTGAGCTCCCCGAGACGCACGGCCGCGCGTCGGCACCTCCCCGCCTACGGTGGAGGCCCGGCCACCGGAGACCTGCCACACCCCGGGGCGCCCATGGATTGATTCTCGGTGCGGGCACGCCGCGCTTTTGCTGTGGCAAAACCGCCGAGGCGCAGGTGAGCCCCAGGGCGCCCTGGGGGCGAGCAGGGCGCGTCCTGGCAGGGGGCCCCCCTGCAGGGGAGTCGTCGCCCCCCCTCCTGGCCGGCCCCCGAGGAGCCGCCAGATGGGGGCGAGGGCGGGCGGTGCCCGGGGGAAGGGCGAGGCCCGAGCGCCCTCCGCCCGCCATCGCTCGAGCGTCCGCGCCCCGTACGCCTTGCGACGTCGTGCGCGTTTTTGGCTCGCGCGATGGCCCAGCAGCAGGGGAACGAAGAATGACCCGGGGCCGGACCTGAACGCTGTTTTTCGTCTTGTTTTCGTTTTGCTGTTCGTTTGGCTCTGCCTGTTTTCCTGTACCTCCCTGCCAAAACGAAACACCAAAGCCAGCCGAAGTCCAGCAAAACAGCGGTCAGGTCCAGCCCTGGAATGACATAAACATAAAAACTCGGAGGTCCGCGCAGGGGCCCCCCTGGCGGCGCCTCCAGCGTCGCCCCTGGCGCGCTCCGCGCGCCAGGGAGGGGGGTCCAGTGCCGATCCGAGAAATCCGCACGGAACTCCGAGGTTTGATGTCTACTCTGCGCTCGGTAAAATGAAATCGGTGGAACTTGGTCTCGGCTAAACTAGATCAGGAGCTTGGGTGCCTGACGTCCGCAATTCCGAAAACTAGATCGGCCCGCGCATACTCTGTTTTCCTATAGCATACTCAAATATGAGACTGGTTTCCTTTCGCCCGAACATACGGGTGTATCTCGTAGTGTGGCGGTCGGCTCGGCTGCGCTGACTTTGCTCCGATTGGGGTCCATATATACTGACCCCGGACTGACCTAGGATGCACTTACCCCGGACTGGACCCCGGACTGTCCCCGGACTGACCCTGGACTGACCCCGGACTTACCCCGGACTGACCCTGGACTGACCCCGGACTGATCCCGGACTGATCCAGGACTGATCCCTGGACTGATCCCTGGACTGAACCCAGACTACAATGGCAACAGCAACATTATCTCAGCAGCGCTCTGGGGACATATAATTAATACCTATACGACCACCCTTTGGGTAATCCGCCGACCCTGTCGGCGTTTGGAAGAGGCTTTGCTGTTTGCCCCATCTTCCTCGTCGTTCCTTTTTCCCGTTTCCCTGCAGCGTCGTCGCTTCTGTCCCTTCCCTACAGCCTTCTCCTCCACTGCGCCCGTCGCTTTCTCTCCTGTCCTAAAACCTTTTCCTGGAGCGTGTCGGTACAAACCGAAACGGAACAACGTCGCCTCTGAGTCAAAGGGAAGCCCCTTCCCTTTCTTCCCTTCCCCGCCAGGGGGGGGGGTGTCCCGGGGGGGGTCCCGGGGGGGGTCCCGGGTCAGATACGCCGCCCTCCCGGCGTCGCTTCTGTCCCTTCCCTACAGCCTTCTCCTCCACTGCGCCCGTCGCTTTCTCTCCTGTCCTACAACCTTTTCCTGGAGCGTGTCGGTACAAACCGAAACGGAACAACGTCGCCTCTGAGTCAAAGGGAAGCCCCTTCCCTTTCTTCCCTTCCCCGCCAGGGGGGGGGGCCTTGACGGCCTCCAGACAGCCCCAGAGGCCTGCAAAGCGCCCCAAGAGGCCTCCAGGAGCCTTCCCACAAGAGCCCCAAGAGGCAAAATTCATGGATTTTCTATACGTTTTCTACAGATTTTGGCGTCCTTGCCTCTTCCGCTTCCCGACGCGCCAAGTCGGCCCAAGAGGCCCCCAAGATCGCCCCGAGACGGCCCAAGAGGCCCCCAAGAGGGTCCCGCAACGACCGGAGAGGGCCCCAAGACGCCTCCAAGACGGCCCAAGAGGCCCCCAAGACAGCTCCAGGAGAGTGCCCAGACGGGGGACCCGAACGGACATTTCGAGCTCTCAACCCCAAGAGACCCCCAAGAGGCCCCGAAGAAGCCCCAAGAGCCCCCAAGAGGCTCCCAAGGGGCCCCCAAACTGCCCCAAGACAGCCCAGGAGAGCCTCAAATTGCCCAGGAGGCCTCCAAGGTGCCTCGAGACGACTCAAGAGGAGCCCTGGACGGCTCAAGACAGCCTCAAGAAAGCCCCAGGCTGTCCCAAGAAAGCCTCTCCTCCTCCTCCTCTCCTCCTCCTCCTCCTCCTCCTCCTCCTCCTCCTCCTCCTCCTCCTCCTCCTCCTCCTCCTCCTCCTCCTCCCCCCCCCCTCTGCTCCCCTCCTCCCGCTCTCCTCTGCCTCCTTCTCCTCCTATTGCTTCTCCTCCACATCCTTCTCCCCCCCCGTCCTCCCTCATCCACCTCCTCCACCCTTCCTCCACCTCCCACTCATCCTCCTCCCCCTGCCCCCCCCCCTCGTTTTCATCTTCGTCGTTCTCAGGGTCGGCGGCACCGGCCGGAAGGCCTTCGCAATAACGAGATTGTGGGGGGGGAGAGGGGGGAACCAACATCTGACTCAATCGATCTCCCTATCGATCTCACTATCGATCTCACTCAACGGAACACCACGGGACACCACGGGACACCATGGGACACTTGTCGATTGCACAATCGATCTCACTCAACGGGACATCACGGGCCACCACGGGACACCACGGGACACCACGGGACACCGCGGGACGCCTCTCGATCTCACTATCGGTCTTACTATCGATCTCATTATCGATCTCACTCAACAAGACATCACGAGACACAACAAGACACCACGGGACACCACGGGACACCTCGGGGCACCACATCGATCTCAGTATCGATCTCACTATCGATCTCACTGTCGATCTCACTCAACGGGACACCACGGGACACCACGGGACTCCTGTCGATCTCACTATCGATCTCACTTTTTGGGGCACCACGGGACACCTCGGGGCACCACATCGATCTCAGTATCGATCTCACTATCGATCTCACTATCGATCTCACTCAACGGTACAGCACGGGACACCACGGGACACGACGGGACACCGCGGGACACGACGGGACACCACGGGACACCGCGAGCCACCGCCAGACGGGCGGGAGGGGGAGAATCATTTGTCTTGACTTCGCCCGAGCAACGGCGGAACACCACGGGACACCACGGGACACCGCTGGACACCGCGGGACACCGCGGGACACCACGATACACCGCGGGGCACCGCGAGCCACCGCCAGACGGGCGGGAGGGGGAAAATCATTTGTCTTGACTTCGCCCTAGCAATGGCGGAACACCACGGGACACCACGGGACACCATGGGACACCGCGGGACACCGTGGGCCACCGCCGGACGGGCGGGAGGGATATAATCATTTGTCTTGACTTCGCCGTAGCAACGACAGACACCACGGGACACAACGGGACACCACGGGACACCGCGGGACACCGCGAGCCACCGCCGGACGGGCGGGAGGGGGAGAATCATTTGTCGCGACTTCGCCCTAGCGACGGCGGACACCACGGGACACCACGGGACACCACGCAGCTTCGCCTCGCCAGCGCAAACGACACGAACGAAACGAAACGATTTCCCGGTTGGGGGTCTCCGTTCCACTGGGATCACACACCCCAACCTCCGATTAAGGCCACAACTCGGTAAAAGTAAATCCAGTAAACTCAGATCTCGGCTAAACTAGGTCGGCAACTGATATCTACCCTATACGACCACCCTTCGGGTGATAAGGTTGTG